AATTGATGGGATTTAAACACCCTACCTACTACTTGGAGGGTTGACAAACTGACCACTTCACTAGGTCACCACACCCTATTAATGTTTTTTTTAATTATTAAAGAAAAAAAAAATTAAGAAAAAAAATTTAACATATTTATAAAAAATAATCATATTATTACACAATTATGCCATCATTACTCCTTTTAACTCCTCACTGACTGTCACGATTTTATTTATTTTACTTCCTAAAGTCTCTGTTCTCTTATATTTAACACTAAAATTCTCTAAAGAAACATTTGTTTTTTGATTTATATTAGTTATTATTTTATTATTAGCATTGTTTGAAGTATTTAATTTTTCATTTTTATCTTGTAGTTTATTATTATCATCAGTTAATTTTACATTATTTTCATTTAGTTAAGCATTTTCTTTCTTTAATTTATCATTTGCACTTTTAAATTGTTTATTTTCTTTATTTATTTTTTTATTTGAAGTTTTCAATTCTTCATTTTCCTTTTTTAAATTATCTAACAAAGCTTGTATTCTGTTCACTTGTGCTGATGTATTTGTGATCATTATCTAAAAAATAAAATAAAATTCATTATATTTATAAAATTGTCAAAACTTGTTCACTCTAATACAAACATAACTTAAAAATAATATTAACATTTTCATGAGAATTAAACACTTACTCATAAAAAAACAAAAAAAAATATTTATTAATTGCTAAACATTGTTACAGGATTGTAGCCTTCTTAGTACAATACAACCAAGTAACAAGGTCACCTGGTACAGTAATTAACTATTGCAAATATATATGAGGTGGAGGTGTAGTAGTTTACTTTATTACACAGCAGCAGGCAAACGGTTCGAGATAGTAACAGTATATAGATTAACTTTTATTAAATAAACACACAGTGACACCCTTGCCTGTAGGAATTACTCTAGAGGGGGAATATCACTTTTACAAGTTAGGGGTAAAGGTAGAAGAGTCTAGGTTGAAGTATAGGAACTTAGAATTGGCAGGGAAGGGTGAAAGCTACCCTTTATATATCTTTTTACCTAGCG